TCGAAATGAACAAAAACAACGTTTACAAAAGTGTCTAGCTCTTTTCACATTATTTGATGCTAATCTGTTAAAGTGGGAAATTGTATAATAGTGTTGATTATACAAAAATAAGTCAACGTGTTTATCTTTTTCATGTGTATCAATTTTAAGTGGAACAACTGCTTTGGAATCTGGATAAACTGTATAGACGTTAGGTCTAATTAATTAGTTAGAAACATTATTTTTTCTTTGGAATCTTTCAACGTTATCGATGGGAACAACTCCTCGTACATCAGAAAAGTCATACTGATCAATATATTGAGTATAGTTAGATGTTCTTACGCAATGATCATTAAATTTACAGGGATGCCCTATGGGTAGTGTATGAAAGTAAAAGCTTGTTACAAGAGGACCAAAAAAGATTTTAAGAAAATTTTTTTTCAATTATATTCGTATAATAATCAAGTTTATGATAGCAATATTCAAAATGAGCTCTTTCTTCCAAGATTTTTTGGTCAGCAAATCATTCAGAAAATTGATTGAGAAAAATAGAGCAAAAAGTTTCAAATGAGCTGCAGGAAAATCAAATAAAAAAGAATTTTCTCTCTATTCTCTTACTTGTATGCTATTCCGGGTTTATGCTAGTTCAATGATTAGTTCGATATTCAATTTAAGCACAGGATTTCGTTTTTGGTCGAATTCTACAGTTCTTTCTTCCCAAAAACGCAGTTTTCTACTAATCGATGAAATTCTATCAAAAATTCGAAATTTTTTTCTCAAAATTTGTCAAACAAAACTTGATTATATTACATAGTCAATCTCCAAAAATCATGTAACCAATTTAAGTTTGAAGAAAAATATTCGAATTTACTTTCATACACTACCCATAGGGCATCCCTGTATGAAGACCGATTAGCACAGAAAACATAAAACAATCTGTATTGGTTTGTGGTGAAATTAAACACTTCTTGTTCATGAGGAATTCTGGCAGCTTATGATGAAAACATCCTCCACGAAATGGCTTGAATTTTCCAGCTGCTAAGTCAATAAATAAAATTTTGTTCACAGTCCAGCCAGAACCACGTTGAGTAAACTGATCTATTCGATCATTTATAAAATCTAAGGTGTCATTTATCAAACCATCTTTATCTGATCTAGCAAGACAAGGTGTTAAATCTGATTCAAAACCTCCTTTATCGGTTTTATCGTTGATTTTTAAACTGAACTACAACACAAATACTGAATTTAATGGCTCCAAATTCGTCAATCAAAATATTGAGAAGTGATTTGATCTCATCAAATTCGGTTTTGATCATCTCATTTAAATCAGGAGATTCAATATCTGATGCACGATATTGCACTAAATATTTCCGAAAGGCAGAATTTATGAGTTTGAATGAGCCAGATTGGTTAGGTGCGTTTTCCGGGTGATCGAAAGTCATAGACAAACCACAAACTTTAAGATGATTATTTGAATATTTCAATCTCGTATATGTCTTACCACATTCATCCCACGATAAGGATTTCCCTGCACCGATTTGCACACCTGATTGAATTTGTGATGTTGATGGTAAAGGTGATGGTACAGGCTCAGTTGTTGAAGAAAAGTGAATGGGTGAAGTTCCTTGATCTACATTACCGATTCTTGGAGCAAATTGGATGAAAGATGGTCGATGAATTGATAAATCTAATGGATATTCATCTTCATCAGAAGATATATCGGTAAGGCATAAGATATGTCCGTCAGCTCGATATCTTCACTTTGAGCTGTTTTTTTTTCGGCTTAAAGTTCAAGCTACATATGAAAATGGACTTAATTGTTCAGTTAATTGTGTTTGTTTAAATTAGGTTAGGTTAGGTCTTCGCTAATAAGGGTCACCATGAGCAAAGAAAGGCCCGGAGGGCCTGAGACAATCAAACCGAACTTCAAGCCGAGAAAAAAATCAGCTGAAAATTGAAGATATCGAGCTGACGGACATATCTTATGCCTTACCGATATATCAATTGTTGACTGACTAGATAGTATTATCTCTTCTGGATCAACTCTTGTCGGTTGAGCTGGAAAAAGCTCTGGTACTACTGGATGGATTTGTTGAGGAGATTGATCTAAATCCCTCAATACTTCAGCACATAGTGAGCAATTGCTGCAATTTGAACATGAAGAGCAAGTAGTTGATGATGATTGTGATGGTTCCAATCTTGGTCTTTTAGTTGGTGGAGGACCTTCCATAAAATCCATCATTTTACATGGATTGAATCGAAAATCACATTGATGGACTAAATATGTTGGTAAGACATCATATTGTCTTTGACAACAGGGGCAAAGTATCATCTAAGGAAAAATGTTTGTTAGAGAAATGTGAAAGAAATCAAAGTGAAATGAAAAGTAGATCTCTTTTTTTGAAATGATTATGTCTGTTTAATTATGCTTTGCTAATCTATAGAAGTGTTCGGATTGTTTCTTAAATTTGTTAAATTCTTTTTCAGCTTCTAAGTGTTTGAAAAAATATGGACCATTCATTCTTTCATTGTTCTTAATTGACTCTGCTAACCACCAATCCGGCTTCAATTTTTCCTTTTTACTTTTTTCAAGGGACCGATTACCACAATGGAGATAATGGATAAATTTATAGTTATCAGAGTCAGGTCTCGAACGGATCTTCGCAATTCTCCTCCTTCTACGAATCTTAGCTCTTTGATTAGCTGTCAGTGGAATCGGACGATAACCAGATGGAAGAGGCAGGTTTATTGGTACAATTGGACCATCTTTCCTTGTGCGAGGATAAGCAAGATAACAATCACTTTCAAGAGGGATGATGATCATTGTCCTAAAGAATAATCATATCACTAGAGATCTACTTTTCATATACTATTTAATAAACTTACCTCAAGATGAATAATATTCACTTGTGTTGATAATTAATAAGTTTTGTAATTTCCTGCAAAGTGGCGTTGATGAGAAAGTTCACTGGAAACTCACTAGGTGGCGTTGATGTTGAATAGGTGACAGATATTCCGCTAGGTGGCAGTGGTATCACGACTCAGATCTCAGTTGAGATTAAGACACGAGTGGAGCAGGATGAAGTAATGTATGGGAGATTCACCCTAAGACGTTTATCACTATTAACTATCAGGGTGAAGTTGCCAAACATCAAGCATAGGACTCACTGAGGAAAATCATTGATGGTCCTCTCCTTATATACCCCAAGTGTCACAACTAAAGTTACGTCTGAGAACATTTTCATGCAATTGACACATAATTCATGATGATCGGAATGAACTTTTCATGATCATCATCAAGAGATGAGTTTTCTGAGCATTTATTTGTGAACAGAATAAAAAATTATCATCCGTTTTGAAGATAAATGATGACAAATGAAAATCACAGAAGTGCTGCCATCTTCTGGTGAAAGAAGTAAGTTAATTGTAAAGTGTCGCCATCTCTTGAGTAAATCAAAATTTAGGCGCGCATTTCAAATTCTTAAAAAATTCATAATATTGTAATGGAGGTTTTCAATTGGCTCGAAATACCGCATACATAGCCCTAATTGTAGTTAATTGTGACTTATCAGCACTTAATTGTAGTTAATTGTTACCTATTAAAACTTAATTGTAAGTATATTAGACATATTCAACATTAATCATTATCATCCTATTCAAATATACCGCATTTAATATATTAGTTCATTCAGTCTTACATAGATGGCGACACATTTGTATCAGCCAATTGTTCTCCGTAGAATATTTTTAGTGTTATTCAATTGTTTACATCGTGTAATACACTTAATTGTCTTATTTGTTTAATTGTTTAACCAATTTTCATTGTGATACCATCAATTTAAAACCAATAATGCGTGAACGGTAAGTTGCTTTAAAAGTATGAGTCAATTCAATATATTCTAATCTCTTATCTCTTAATCATAGTGACTATTCTGGACCATTATCAGCAATGCTCAGACAAGTTCTGCGTTATTATAACTCCCCAGGAAAAGACTGCCCCGAGTTCGTGGATCGAGCTCTCAACACTGCCATTCAAAGAATTGAAATGAATGAAACTGATCGAACTCGACTGGAGAGAGCAATGATAAAGATCCAGTCCCTCAAACGTACTGAGGATTACCTTGAACGAGAGGTAACCTCCTTGGTGGATGAGCTGATGGAAGCTGCCAGTAAGATGGATCAGCTTTCAGATAAGGTTTTTGAACAATCGGAAAAGATTGTCAAGCAAGAAAAAGAAATATCTGATAAAGATAATTATATTGATTACCTATTGATCCGCTTTGAGCGGTATACTGGTCTTCCCAAAGACGACTTTTTTCCGATACGAGCGACGGTGTGAGGCCAAAACTCGTGAAATCGAATTGAAAGAAAGAGAGACCTCACGAGGAATTTGATTTCGTTTAGTTTTCTATTAAAAAAGCTATAAGAATAGCTTCATTTTCATGCTAATACCTTTTTTGTTCTTTTATTTATTTAAATTGCGCGCCAAAAAAATAATCCGAAAAAGTTGGTCCAGTATGGACGCTTGGCCCAGACCCGGTCTTTGTATAACTACTACTTACCTTTAGAGGACCACATTAAATAGAAAAAAACAAAATTAAATGAAAAAAACCATCAAAATTAAGGTAAAAAACCATCAAAACACCAACTCTTTTGCTTCTTTCTGATAAATAAATGCTTTTTTCAATACTCGATACTCTAATCGAAAGTATCGAGTAGTGCTGAAAGCGATGGTATCGATAATATTACTCATTAAAAAAGTATCAGCGCAACACTAGTTCTTATTTAGTTCAAATTCAGTTGTAACTTAGAAAGTTTAATTTAGAAATGCAACTGAATAAATCACGAAGAGTTACATGAATAGAGCTTAGTGAGAATTAAACTATTCTCCATAAACGTATCTTTCTTGTTCTTAATGGTTTTTTTAATTAACAATTTCACTCTCCCAATTGAGAATCAAAACTTTTTTCATGACGAGAAATTCTGAAATTTATTTTTCAGTTTTATTCAGTACAGTTCGTTTATCCAGTCGATGCTCTCATTGCCAACGCTTCAAGAATCTCAGTGATTTCTTTCGAATTATCTACAATCATGTTTTCGTGTTGTCCAGGCAATTTGAAAACAGTGACAGCTCCTTTCGTATACTGTTTGGAAAAGTTTTCGAATCGTTTCATTACTAAGATTATTCAATATTCATTTTTAATGAATTAATAAACTTACTTTAGATAATCCATAATCTTCCAAATGATGGAAATCGCAATTGTTTTCATCTGAATCTGTTACTCGAATCAAAACAATTTCACCGTTGAAATTTTCGCCCATATTTAATGCGGCAGCTTTTTGCATTTTATCTCCAAAAATATCGATAGCATCACTTATCTGGTTAACATCATATTCAAACGATCCTATCTTGTTGATAGTTGTAGTTACATATTCTAATTTTTCTTGTTTCGTTTTGAGCTCGAACAGTTTTGTTCTCACTTCGTTCTTGACATCACTCTTCATGAAAGGTGAAAGAAAATTCAAAGTCAAATATGTAAACATTGTGGCTTCATCTTTCCCTGCATATTCTTCATGATTTTTTTTCGTGTTGTTGTTTGCTATTTCAGGCGATGAGTCCATAATGATGAGATTTCTAACAGAATCTTGACCCAATTTCTGTTGTAAGCCAATGGCCACTTTCAAGGCGATCATTCCGCCAAAGCAGAAACCAGTGAGATTAAATGTTTTCTCGTTTGGATATTTGGCTATAAGTGAGTCCACATAAAAGTTAACAACTTGATCCATTGATTCGAGATTCTGACAGTCTTTGGTCCAACTGATGCCAATCACTGGTTTTGAGAATGATTCGAATACTGGAATAACTATATGGAAGTTACCTGATAGACCAGGGAAGTAAAAATATGGTAATCCAAATTCACTTTGATTCAATGGAACAAACAATTGCGTATGAATATGGAAAATATTTCCATATTCTTGTATAGAATAAGTAGAGTTGATTTTTTTCTTCTCTGATTTTTTCAATTTCTTTTCGAGTTCATCTAATTCACCAACTTTCAATTCTCGAATTTCATTGGTTGTCATTGAATAATCGTAATCAGTATCGAGAGCTTGTTTGATTTCAACTGCCATCAATGAATCAAGACCAAGTTCAGATAAAGTTGATTGTGGATCAACTTTAGTTGCATCTTTAACACTAAGGATATGAAATATTTTCTGTTTTAATGAGTTACTATTTCCCATTGATGATGCACTTTTTTTATCAGAAATTGAAACTATGGTGAAAAGTGAACTATCACAGGATGACATTAAAGTTTTTTCCAGTGAGTCCAATACTAAATTTAAACGAATTGGTTCAAGAGATCTCAACGTCTCGCTAGATCGCACATTCATCTCTGAAAATATCCCAACATCGCCAACTGCTCCCCATCGAATAGCCAAACCATGTAGTCCATCTAATCTTCTTTTTCTACAAATATTTTCCATCGCTGCATTACCGAAACAATAATTGGTCTGGGCGATACTTTCGAGCTCAACTGCTATTGAAGAAAAGCATACGAAATAATCAATATTGTAGGATAGAGATCGAGTTAGTTGATCCAAATAACGACAAGCGATCGCTTTTGGTTTGACAGCTTCATCAAATGTTTCAGCTGTTTGATTCTCGAAAAGTCCGTCTTTTAGAACCATAGAAAGATGAAATACTCCACCAATTTGGCCCAATTCTTGTGCTTGATTAATTAACCTCTCAGCTGATTCTGAAGTTGAACAATCCTCATTAGAGATGATAATATTCACTCGAGAGTAACCATTGTTTCTCATCCTTTCTAAAATATACTCTTGGTATTTTGTCTCGATTCCAGAACGCGAGGTAAGAATTAGATTAGTCACTCCTCTTGATACCATCCAATAAGCTATTTCGAGTCCTAATCCTCCGAGTCCACCAGTTATTATGTAACTTTTTTCAAGGTCGAAAAATGTTTGACCAATTGAACGATAAAGTTTAAATTTATTTGGATCTTCATTTTCATCTCTCATTTGAATCAAAACTTTACCAATGTGTTTCCCTGTTGCCATAAACCTAAACGATTCTTCAAGCTGATTCATTTGGAATATCGTTGTCGGTAGAGGTACAACTTCACCTGATTTGATTCCTTCTTTTAACATTTCAATAATACCATGCCAAACCTTTATCCGATCAGGAATCATCTTGATGAACACATCATCTTGCAGAAAAGCCAAGCAACAAGCATGAAACGTTTTGTTGAAATCTATGAATTGTGAATCTATTTGGGTATTGTATTAATAATTTGTACATCCATTGGCAAAATTAAATGTGAAAATATTTGCGACTTACCAATTTTAGTATTTTGGATCATATCATATTTGCCTATTTCGATAAAGCGACCGAAATTTGACAAGCATCTAATCGAAGCTTTTAGTTTATCATCAGAAAGTGAATTTAAAACTAATTCAACTCCTCGACCATTGGTCATCTTTATTATCATATCTTCAAATGATGTTGATCGAGAATCACCAATATGATCCTCATCGATTGAAGGGAAACGTTTCTTAATGAAGTCCCTTTTCTCTTGTGTTCCAACTGTAGTAAATACTTGACAACCTCTAGATAGACAGATCGAAATAGCTGCTTGACCAACTCCTCCTGAACCTGCATGAATTAAAACACTTTCACCAGATTGTAAATTTCCTCGAGAAATTAAACCATAATAAGCTGTCAAATAGACAACAGGAACTGTTGCAGCTTCGGCTAATGTCCAATTTTGAGGAACAAGGACACGAGATGAATTTGATTGGATTATTGATGAAGTTGCTAATCCACTCGAATTACAAATACCCATAACTCTTTCACCAGACGAATCGATACCCGAAAACTCAATACCAATTGATGGCATGTAATGAACACTATCATAAAGAGGATATGAACGAAGAGGAACTCGTCCAGTTGCGACGAGAATATCACGAAAATTCAAAGACCCATAATAGATTGTTATCTTTTCATGATCTTCGATGAGCTTATCGTTAGGAATATGGGTCCAATTACTATGATGTGATTGAAACCATCGTAAACTTGAAAGATCACCTTTTGTTTTAATATCAGCATAACATGACATTGTTTCGATTTGTAAATCATCAAGATTGGCATTCACTTTACAATCCAATTTCTCCGTTATCATCAACTTTAACTATCAAATCTCTTTCCATTACTTCATCAGGACAATTATCTTCATCATCTCCTATTTTCGGATCATAATAACATCTTATATTATATTGAGGATCTTTAGAAAGACACATGACGAGTCCAACTATCCCGTTATCATAACCACCTCCAGTTAACCAGATTTTCTGATTCTTGTATTTCGACAATTCTTTTATCTTATCAATCCAATCATAATTACTATCAAGTTTCACTCTGATAAATGTTACCTGTTGAACTGGATTGGGAGGAATGGACGTCTCAGCAGAACTGAAAATATCCTTCATCGACCATCTCCTTGTGACAGATCCAAGTGAAACCAGCATCAGTTGCGTTACTTTTGTGTTGATAAATCAAAGTTGATCTGTTGATTATTTCCAATCAATTGTTGCCATTCTTGTTCGACTGGTCTTAATTTAGTTCTCGTCATAATTTGACAAAATCCACCTTCTTTCAGTGGATCAAATAGATTCTTCAACAATGGATCGAATTGATTGCATTTGACTTCAGGCTCAGTATCTTTGTACATGAGAAGAGTAGACTTGTCACGAATAAAAACAAAATCGTATAGTTTTGATTCTGAACTATTTTCGGTTTTTTGATTCTGAATATAAACCAAATTAGAATCACTCTTTATAAAATTATTCATCGTAGTGAATCCATAATCATTGAAAATATTTTCAATCTCGTTTGCAAATATTAATAGATTTTGACTGAAATTACAAAATGCAAGGGAGATTTTTTTCTTGAGTAAGTTGTATCTAGCAATGCTCAGAATTTGTTCAAGTAAACATTTTTCTGGCTCATAAAAGAAAAAATCTCGACACAGAGCATTATGATATTGGTTGAGAACATTATTTAAACTTGGAATTGAATCTACACCATCCATTGGACTTTTGCATTGTTTTATCTCCAACTCAAAAATCTCGTGCAAAATTTGTCTGAAAGCTTCATCAGAACTATCACTTTCATTTATCTCTATTGGATCAAGTTGTTTTGATTTCAATCTCCCGATGTTTTCAATCAGTTTCATGCATTGAAAACTGTACTCTTGTTGTCTCATTGCTTTTTCATTGCTAAAATTATGATACGAATTAAATGGGATTAGATCATGGCTTCGTATTTGGTGATTCGCTGTGTTAATCTTTCTTCTGATCTCTTCGCCTTCTAATCCTTTAAGAATGAACCCGTTTGTGATTCCCATCCGCGTTTCTTGATTGAAATAAACACTAAGCTTTTTAGTTGAATCAGAATCTGATCTGACAGTTTCATCGCTAAAGGCACTTAATGTTTCTGGTGGAAACATGTAAACATAATCAATGTAAACAGGAACAATCAGCTTACGGGATTTCGAAGCCAATAACGAAACATGTAAACAGGCATCAGAAAAGCTAATCCAATGTCCAGTGTCTTTGACCATACCCCAACTTCCATTAGAAGAAGCTTCTTCTACACCTTGGAATGATCCTGAATAATCGTAACCACGAATTCTAAGTTCCTTGTAAATATCCTTCTTTTGAAGTATAATCTCTGTGTTTTCTTTGATATTCTTAAAATCAACAGGTAGCAAGTTTACTGTTGGTTTATCAACAAATCGATATTTTCCAGTTATACAAAAATTTTTACTCTCATTTACGTAGATGAGGAAAGTTTCAAGATCTTCGTTAATTTTGGTAACAAATTTCATCTGACTTGCAGTTGATGTGAATTGTGTTGCTCGAAGAATTTGAACTTGATAGAATTCAATTGGATTTTCTTCAGGTTCGAGATCAAACATCCTACAGACCATTTGCCAAGCAACATATAGATAACCTGTTGCTGGAAACAAAATTCTTCCATCTATCTGATGACCAGTAAGAAATAACCATAAAGGGTCGTGAAGATCAACTATTTTGGAAAATACAGTTCTTTGATTAGAATACTTGTCATATTTAGCATCAAACCATTTCTTTTCATGCTTCCATTTAATCAGATGACCAACAGAATGCGTTTCTCTTGGGACTGGATATTCAATTTGATCATAAAGATTGACAATCACTGGATGAAGACCATGAAGATAAATTTGACCAATAATTTTATAAAGATGCAAAGTCGATTGGTTATAGTTGCTAATATTTTTCAAAATCTCTTGATCACTTATTAAGAAGATTGATGATTGTCTCGTCTCAATATTTAAACCAATCTCTAGTAACACAGAGTTCGAATCAATCTCTTCTATTATTTCATTAAAATTGCATGATTCTGTGATACAGGAAACGAAAAAATGTCCATCAATGATATGCTCTTGGTCAGAATTGATAAAGTTTTTACAAAAACTAGTCTTTAACCCTGAATTTGTTTTCAATGGTCTGAGAAATTTGTTGATTTCAAGTTCAAGTGGTTTTGATATTTCACTAATCAGAGAGGAGTTAAATGGAATCCCTTTTGTATCAATAAGATTTGTTTTGATATTTGCCCCGATTTTTGCGATGAACTTTTTAACTGCATCTTCAATACCAGTGATCAATGTCCAATCTTCCGACTCGCGTGAAGCTAATTCGATACAACCAAAACCCATCTCTTCGATTTGTCTCCATGGTAAATTAACATAAGCCATTGCTCCTTTTCCTTTGAATTGTTTACAAGCGACACCAATATGATAACCGATTAACAGAGCATCTTCATCAGTTATACATCCAACGGCATAAGAAGCAGCAATTGAACCAATCGAATGACCAATTATACCTTTCGGTTTAATTTTCAAATGCTTAGTTAGTAGGTCACAAAGAGAAATTTGAATCGCAATTGACGAAATTAAGAAGGAAATTAAATCCTGTTGATTAGATTCAATAATCTTGATAACATCGATTCCTAATGATCTCAAACGATCAGTTTGCATAGATCTTATTCTTGAATAAATTAGAGGAACTTCCAACAGTTGAACAAATGATTGTAATGAGACATTAAACATTGGAGTGAATATCAACCAAGGAAACACTTCATCAGTTGATACATTTTGTTTTAATGTTTGATGAATGATTGTTTGTTCATCATCCAACAATAAATATCCACGATGATCAAACCCTGTTGATGGTTTGATCTTACTCATGTTATCCAAAAGTGCCAACGTGTATTTTGTTAATGATCCTTTTTGCTCCTCAATAAAATTAACGATAGTATCCAAGCCTTCATAAGTTCGATTGCAAAAATTGACTAAACGTGGTACTTTATTGGAACTTAAAATTAGATCAGTCTTTGTGATTCTTTGAGAATTTGCTTGCAAAATGAAGGTAGTATTGACACCACCAAACCCAAATGCATTTACCATAATATGATCTCCATCGAATCTTTTATTTTCAAGAATTGGTCTAATAACACCTTTAATCAGTCCATCGATATTTGGATTTGGTTCGTTGAAATGTAAATTAGCAGGAATTACACCAGTTTGGAAAATCTTAACAACTTTTGAGATCGCATTTAAGACGGAAGAACCTTCAGAATGACCAATATTTGATTTGAGGCAACCAACAAGAAGAGGTTTATCTGAATCAGGTCTCATTGTTTCCATCAATGCCTTACATTCAATTGGATCTCCAGCTGCAGTTCCCGTTACATGCGCTTCAACATAATCGATTTCCACTGGATCTAAATGCACATCTTTAAATAATCGTCTAAGAACATCTATCTGACCTTCAAGTCGTGGAAAAGTAATTCCTTCTTTGGTGAATCCATCATTATTCACAACGATATTTATTAAAGAGCCGTAAACTCTCTTGGCATCAGATTTACGTTGAATTAAAATCGCAACAATACTTTCAGATCTGAGATAACCATTAGCATTAGCATCTAAACATTTGGACTTACCATCAATACCGATCATTCCAAATGATCTGAAACAAAGAGAAATAGATGGAATAACACAATGATTATGAGCAAGAACAATCGCTTGATCGCAATCACCAATCAATAAACTTCTCGCTGCAACATCGAAAGCTGAAGCAGCGGCTGCACATGCAGTGTCCACGCTGATGACTGGACCTTTCAAGTCAAACACATAATGTAACCAATTTATACTTTCGGGATGATTCAAACCAAGAGGATCTCCATCTAATTGTGGTCTATGACTCGCACTTACACCAGCAAAAAGCCCTGTGTTTGTACCACGCCAACCATCGTGGGTGAAACCTTCCATTTGATTCAAAAACGAATTAATAACTTTTCTCAAGATATTTTACGATTGTAAACTTACCAGCATCAATAATCATTTCGTATATAACCTCATGCAAAACACGAATTGGTGGAATAATGGTTGATACAGATTCTGTAGCTATTTTGAAAAATTCTGCATCAAAAAGGCCGATATTAGGAACTTTGGCCAACCGTTTAGGTATATTTAGCATTGCTGTTAAAAAGAGGAAAATATAAGTTTCTTGATAGAATTAACTGTTTCGAAAGCCAAATTGATATACTCACTAGTTGGCCATCTTCTATCATCGATAGTTCCACCATCAACACCGTTCAACAGGTTGAACCAAAACTCTTCCAAAGATTGAGCCTCAGGATAACGTCCAGATATACCAGAAATAACTAATAAGTTGTAAGGTATTGACGCCATGGCGATATAACTCACAATAAATTTTTTGTCAACTAAATGTAATTCACAAGATCATTTATATTTATATCCGTAAATGGGCAACTAATTTATATTCAAGACAAGCTGATGGTTTAATTGATCAGAACCTAACACTTGACTTGGAAAAGTAAGAGGTGCCCAACTATTAGTTAATTATACAATTGAATAGTTAATTATATTGTGAATAGCGTCTGAACAAACCATTTTGTTATTGCTATTTGAAAACTCGAGTTTCCAAATAATGAGATGATGAGATCACACTATCTCATTAAAAGCTATTTGTTTGCTTTTCGCAAGAATTTATATTTATTTCTATCAGATATTATCGATTTATTCATTCTTATTAGAAAGTAATAAAGTTTCCCATCTTTTATTTATTAATAAGCAGATAAAATCAACTGAATTGACAGAATTTAGAGAATCACTGAAAAAAGCAAACTTAATTATTAAAAATGTCTTCATGGTTTGTCTAATATAATCAATTCGATATTTAAACGACAATCGAAGATCTGATAAACGATATTTTGAGAGGCAATTCAATCTCTTTCGCGATGGCTCTCTAGATATTTATTGGTTTAAACTTTAAAGTTACTAATAATAATTAATAGATAGAAATATTATAATTCTCTCCGGAAACAAGGGTATATTTTTGTAATCATGCCATCTATCGGACTTGAATACAATACAAGAATTTCAAAAGTTCTTGATCGATTGATCAATTTAGAAAATGAAATCAAGTCAAAAATGGTTTCTTCTCTATCTAGATAGAGGTGAATTAAGTCAAGAAGATTTGGCAATTAAATATAGTTAATATGTAAGTAAACAATCAATTTCAGCAATCAAATCAGTAAGAGTAGGTCGAGATTATGATTCTCTATTCTATTTTATTGAATATTGAACATTTTTTGAGACAAAATTTTGTAAAAAAAAGAAAAGAAAGACTAGTCTCATCTCAAAAAGAAAGAGAAATTGAAAAGTGTCATCTCTTGCCGTACGGAATCAGCCCCACTTTTTCCGTACATTTTGCGCGCTACTATTAATACTTCTTACTCTTTGAGAAAAAGTATCGGATCAAATGGTTTCCAATAGAAACCGATTATCATATGCGTTTGTTGATTAAATCAACTTGATCCAACTTCATTTCTAATCAATGTTTACAATTACAGTTAGTAGTTTGTTTATCATTAAATTGTTACCTTTCTCCAATGATTAGGGTGTTAATTGTTGTCAACAATAAAATTAGCTTCAAATATCAAGTAAAACAAATTGACTTTGGAAAGCAAATTGTAATAAGCTGATTAATTGAAGTTAATTAGATTCCACTAATTAACTGTCACCCAAATTAAATCAATAACAAAAAAGGTAAGTGATTCAATCTGTTGATTGTAACAACTTAATTGTTTCCAATTGATTGATTTTCTCTTTTTCTTGTAGTGTTTTTCCGCTCTCAATTTATGTTAATTCATCTCTATTGATTATCGTTGATTATTATTGACCTTTAATGGCTGAACGTTTACGAGAGATCGATTTTATCGTTCAATTATCTTATGGACCAGAGATTACGAAAAATTTTCTCGCTCGTAAAATGAACCAACGGATTGACCTGATTAACCGGATTATCCAAAGATACACTTTAACCGAGCCCGTTATCCATTTCTGTAACATTACCATTCGTACCCTGAGGATATTGGAAAATCTTGTCCATGAAGATTTCAACCCATTGTTGGAAAATTTTGGTTCCAATCATTTCATTCAGATGATGATTAAACAATATGAGAATATTGTTCATTCACTACAATTGCTTTTCGTGGATTAGATTTATTTAAATTGGATTATGAGACTCCTAATTCCTTGCTGCAAAAGCTTCAAACTGAACCAATTGAATCAATTAAATCACAAGCAATTATATTAATTGATTCTTACAAAGATGATATTAAATTGGTTGAAGCTTGTGATGCAAATTGTAATTTCAAGTTAAATCTACCCAATCAACCATCAGTTTTCACGAGACTGGCAACCATTGCAATTGAACAATTAGATTCACTTCGTGGTGACATTGAAACAATCAATCTAATTGCTGATAATTGTGACGATGTTAACAATCAAATGGAACCTTTGTCAACAACATCAATTAATTGTCTCAAAATTAATCTTATACGATTGAATTTTATCATTCACATGATTACCTCTGATTATGATAAACTTACCATCTATTAATCTTATAATAAACAATTAAGTGTCAAAGACCTTCAGCAATCATCATCTTCATAATCATCATCATTTGATTGTTAAAAATGATCACAAGCAATTACTATGTATTCAAAGTGCCAAACAATTTAAGGATCAATGAAACAAATCAGTGACCAAAATGTATAATAAGTTTTGTGAAATTAAAAATCCATATATGAAAAAAAAAATAAACATAGACAATATTAATTAATTAGAATTGACAATTTAATTGTAATCAATTGACTAATTTGTTTTTCGCGCTAATCCAACAAAAGGCGGAGCTCAAACTTTTACCGTTAACTTTAAACAAATTTGGTTTTTAAATTACAATTTGTAATTTAAGGTTGTTTGATTTACCGTTACAACGATTGTCATTACAATCATTTATTTAATCAACACTTATTTAATCAAGTTAATTGTGACAAGATTGAATGATGAACAATAACAATTGGGATCCAGTCAATCTTTTCAATTCAGTTCTTTATTGATTCCGTTTCCTTTTCTGCTCATCTGATTACTAACATTCAACATCATCAGGTGTTTATTTTAATCATCTTTTTTAATTGTCTAATTTGCTCACATTGTTATGGTAATGGTGAGTAATTGAATTGATTGTTTTTCTACTTGATGATTAATTTTAATTGTTTCTTTTTTCTTGCTTCGTTTATTTTGGTGACAGTCTAGTGTAACCATGAAATCGAGTCAAATGAGAGAGGTTGATTTCATTTCCAAACTAATCAAATATGGACCAGTATTGACACGACATTTATTGACCAGTAAAATTGACCAATTGCTCAGAATCTTTCGATCTGAAATGAGTCAACCCGATTGTGATACAAGTAAAATCGATCTTTGTTCAATTGCAATCGAAACTCTGGTCCTACTTAACGAGTCAATTGCTTACACCTACGATCGATTGGATCGACTTGGTGGAGATGAAATCAGAAAATTTGATCAACTAATCTTGGACCAATATGAAAACATCCTGAGTGTCCTTTGTGAACAATCAGATTACCATGATGACCATTACCTGAAACCAAATAATTTGCTGGCTAATCTATCCTACAAAACAGCGGAAACCATTAAAAATCAAGCTCTTAATCTGATTAACCAATATAAAGCTGATGTCGCCTTAATCCTTTCTTGTGAAAATCTTACACCAAATTGTGACCTTACAGTTTTAGCGAGTATTGTTATCGTGAAATTAGATTCACTTCATCATGAAATGTCCAACATAACGATTCCCGATGAAACTACAAGGTACGAGTTCAAACATTCAATGTACTTTGCCTTACAACTTTCCATTAATCGACTTAATTTTATACTTAATCTGTTGTTCCTTTAATTTCGTATCTTAACATTCACAATTTCTACTTAAATCCTTTTAAATTGAATCTCCTAACTGACCAAATAATCCAAATAATTTTCCTATCATCAAGTCAATAAATTACTTTTGAATTTTAATCATGATTAGAATTGATTTTTCTCCATATCTATTGTGTGAAATATTATCTATTGATAGCAATTCGAATTTTAGTTTGATTAGAACATGTAAACTTCTGAGGATATAAGTGTAGTTATATTCAGTTAAATTGATGATCTACTCGAATTCGGTGAATCAACTTGAACCAGATATTAATGTTTCGTTTTGTTGTAAACGAAAGGTTCAGTTAGTCCAGAAACAAGTCGAAAAGCGATGAAAGTTATGTCGATTCCAAAAGCCTCTAGTGCACTAGTACCTTTGACCATTGATGCTTGTTCATTTGTCTTTTGATTTTTGCATTTTCGAATCCGTCGTCGCTGTTGATGAATCTTTTACCGAGTATTTCGAGAGGCTAAATGATCTTACTGTTGATTCTTTAGGGCAAAAGTAGAAAGAAATACAAAGATCATCACCAGTTCGCAGGTCAAATCATCACATTGATAAAGGGTAAGACTCAATTCTATGTGATGTGTTTCAGTTACGATCATTTATCAGCTTCTTCGTTTTCAGCCAATTCCATGACATTCACGACCAATTGGGTGTCCAAGGTTGATTTCTTATCTTCAAACACTTTAATATAAATCACGAGTAGTTCACTTGTAAATTAACTCATATAAATTACACTGTTCTCACAATTAAATACGATAGTTGATTGATCACATTAACTGTTCATCTAGTGGTGAATCCTTGAAGAGAGTACCAACCATTATCCAAATGAACCAAAAAATTTATTACGATTTTATTACGATTTCGAATAGATCGAAAAAGTAATCGTGGCTCTTTGGTTAGTCCAATAGTGCTATATGAAATGATTTATCTGAATATCTGTCTATTAATGTATAGAAGTTTGATTCAATTGATCAACAGGAATTAATCTCATTAAGTATATTGTGATTTGTTGATCTGATAAAATAAAAGAAAACTCAACCGAAAGAAAAAGAAAGTGCTCTTCAAATTAAGTTATCAATTGTTATTAACTGTTAATCAGTGTGATTTAATTATGGTTCTTGAACATTATTGTGGTTATGATGCTTGGGTAAGTGGATTGAAAGGTGAACTTGCAACGATTAACCAGTTTATTTTTCCTTAATTAGGACTTACAATCAATTTGGCATTCAGAAGCGCTTAGTATTCCACCTTGTTTGATTGATACTAGTTTACTATGGACAATCTCGGGTTTCCTTTGGACACTATTTCCGTTCGCGGTTCAATCAGTTTTAAACTCATCTCGAAGTAAAAGGAAAAAGTTACCATGGACTTTTCTCCTTACGGCCAAATTAGTTGAGTATTTTGATCTTAATTTTCCCATTTAGTTATACGATGAGAATTTGCAACTTAACGATTCTGTTTTTCTTGAATAGATCATTGGATTATGTCTAATCGTGCTGGTTGGAATTCAGTTTATCATCATCATAATCGATTTTAAACATGGTACAAACATTCACCCTGTCGATTATTATTCACCGTTAATCAAATTGATGACCTACGTAAGCTATTAATATTATTTACCATTTGAAATTTCGATCTGATCGACAATCTTATAGCCAGGAAGACTTTTATTTTTTGGTTAAAACCCGAACAGAATTCACACTATTTTTCGTATTTGATATATTTTCGAATTTTCTATCAACGCCCAACAACAGTAACTGTAGATTCTATTCTGCGAAACTCAAATTTCCATCTAATTAGTATCACTCTTAGAACATCGTCTCTATTAAACTTTGAACTTTAAATACATGTAAGAAGATAAAATCTCAAGTCTTAATCCACCTAAGATCCATTGGCCTTGTAATTCAATATTAATATTAATCTGATGATAGACTTTGGCAGTAGGTTTGTCTCTTTGGTATCGATTCAATGGTGTTCATACGTCGGCATTATTATTCATTTACTGGTTTTTTATGTTCATCTATGAATCAATCAACTATTTATCTCTAATCCAAACTTCGAAAGATCCAGTAAGTCATGATAATTTCAATTGTTTCAATCTTCATTAATCCTTTGGAAATGTTTTCCATTCTCTGAATTTATTAATATTTAGAATTATTATGAGTGGTCATTCAGTTTATCCGATAAAATCGCCAAGACTTTTCATCTTGTTGGATCAATTTGTATGCTGTTATTACAGTGTTTTCCAGATTCGAGGATTCCAAGTTCACTGATTAAAGAAGTAAGAGAAGAACGAGAAGCAAAACAATTAATCAATTACTAATTTGAACACATTGATACATTTACAGAACGAATGTCCATATGAAAGAGCTTCGTTTATCAGTAGAATACTCTTCTTTTGGTTCGATTCAATGGCATTAAAAGGTTTCCGTAAATCGCTTGACCAATCTGATATGTGGAAACTGGCGGAAGACAATCAATCGATCACAATCAGGAAACGTTTCGACAATTATATACGTTCATCATCTTCTCCATCGAATCATATTAATCTTCTTGGTGTATTAATTAGAAATTTTTGGCTTCCATTACTTTTAAGTGCCATTTGTAAGCTAATTTCAAGTTTACTTGTGTTCGCAAGTCCCCAGCTAATGGATCAACTCTTGACCTTCATCATTTCCAATCAACCAAATTGGAGAGGTTACATTATTGCTCTGAGTATTTTCACTGCTTCAATTGCTTCGACAATATTTGAGTCCCAATATGAATTCTGGACCAATATCACTGCAATGAGAATCAGATCAGCGTTAATCACAGCAATTTATCGAAAGGTAAGTCCATCTATCTAATTACCAGTTTCAATAGAGTTTAATAACATTTTTATTATTCACAGAGCTTACGATTATCAAGTTTAGGTCGCCGAGACTTCACCACCGGTGAGATTGTCAATCTAATGTCGGTCGACACTCAGCGTATCATTGAATATGTCAACGTATTCAATTACGCTTGGACAGCACCGATTCAATTTGCTTTAACCATTTACCTTTTATGGCGTCAATTGGGTGTATCATCCATCGCTGGACTAGTTTTAATGGCGGTTGTAATGCCTTTGAATGGATTTGTATTCACTCAATATCAAAAACTTCAAACTCGCCTTATGAAAGAGAAAGACTCACGTTCCAAATTACTTTCTGATATTCTCAACGGAATGAAAGTTCTTAAACTTTATGCATGGGAATCGGCTTTTGGTGATATTGTCTCTTCGATAAGAAAAAACGAAATCAAGGCTCTGAAGTCTCAAGCCCTTTGGGCAGCTTGGTTTATATTTACCTTTACATGTGCACCATTCTTTGTAAGTGACATACCCTGACCTCAAACCCGCCATATTTGTATTGGATTAACCAACGAAACTCCATTTTCTGTGACAGATAACGGCTACGAACTTTGTGACTTATGTCTTGATAGACAGAAAACATGTTCTTGATGCAAACAAAGCATTCGTATCGATTTCACTGATCAGTATTCTTGGCGGACCTTTGGGCTTTTTACCGATTGTTATTTCTCATGGTACAAGTGTAAGTTTCAGTTGACTAGTTTTCTCCTTGAAATTTGCTCATAATATTTGCATAGTTGTTAGTAATTTTCTATTTCTAATGATTCTGATATTTGTGTCTGTTATGTTTCTGAATGCTCAGTTTTACGTTTCCATCAAAAGAATCAACAAATACCTTGATGGAGATGAGCTCGTGAACGATTCAATTGACCATAAACCTGATTCAATTACACCGATAGTAGTTCGAGATGCAACTTTTTCCTGGTCTCCTGAAGAAGAAGCGACATTGAAAGATATCAACATAAAAGTAGAAAAACAAAAGTTGGTCGCTGTTGTTGGAACTGTTGGTTCTGGTAAATCGTCTCTTTTATCTGCACTTTTAGGAGATTTACACAAGAAACAGGGTTATGTTAATGTGTACGGAAAAGTGGCCTATGTGCCTCAAAGTGCGTGGATTTTAAATGCTACAGTTCGGGAGAATATATTATTTGGCTCGAGTTTTAACCAAAGTAAATATGATAATGTAATCGATTCATGTGCTCTCACTCCCGATTTAAAGATGCTAACTGGAGGCGATGCCACTGAAATTGGTGAGAAGGGAATCAATTTATCGGGTGGACAAAAGCAAAGAATAAGCCTTGCAAGAGCTGTTTATGCAAATTCCGACATTTACTTTTTCGATGATCCTTTATCAGCGGTTGATTCTCATGTAGCCAAACATTTATTTGAAAAAGTCATTGGTCCTCAAGGCTTATTGAAGGGTAAAACTCGACTTTTAGTGACACACAGAATAACATTTTTACCACAGGCTGATCAAATAATCGTTATAAAAGATGGTCAAGTCAGAGAGTCGGGCACTTTTGCTGAGCTGATGGGAAGACAGGGCGAATTCAATGATTTCATCTGTCATTATTTAGCTGAACAGAAAGATGATTTAGATCCGGAAGATCGAGAGTTTATCCAAGTACTGGATCCTGAAGTCGAGAAAAAAGTTCTAAGCCGATCTGAGTCTACAGTGTCTAATGGTAAAATTTCCGAGATACGGAAACGTTCAAGTATTATAACTGATGAAACGAATAAGAAACGATCAGGAAAGAAAAAAAATTCCGAGAACATAGAGTCCAGGTTCAAACTTGTCGAAACAGAAACGGCTGAAAAAGGTTCAGTTGAATGGAAAGTTTATTTGGAATATTTCACCGCCATTGGTATTGTCCCGTGTGTTTTTTTATTGGCACTTTACTGCCTTGGAAGTGGATTAAATTTAAGGTCAAGCTTTTGGCTAACCGATTGGTCAGATGATTCTCTTGACCCAACAACGTATAATAATACGGGACTTAGAAACAAACGACTCTGGGTTTACACAACTTTGGGAATCTCTGAATCTCTAATTGTTTTCATAATTTCGGCCACAATAAATGTTGCCACAGTGAACGGAGCCCGTTTGATACACGAAAAAATGCTGGCAAGACTTGTTCGTGCACCGATGTCGTTTTTTGATACAACACCTATTGGTAGGATTCTGAATCGTTTTACTGCCGACATGAACACTGCCGATACTCTGATGGGTTTCTCATTCAGTTTTCTCATCTCTCAAATTTTCCGAGCAATCGTCGCCGTTATCATTATCTGTTTACAAACATCATATTTAATTATTGTTATATTGGTAGTTGGAATTGTCTATGTTATGGTTCAGAAATTTTATATCGCTAGTTCACGACAACTGAGGCGAATTGAATCAATTACAAGGTCACCCATTTATTCACATTTCTCTGAAACAGTAGCCGGTTCAACTTCGATCAAAACTTATGGGGCAGTTGATCGGTTTACCAATAGAATCTATCATCTGGTTGACACAAATCATGCTTCGTATTTTGCAAACCTTACTGCTGATCGTTGGCTAGCAATTCGTCTTGAATTTCTGGGCAATATGATTGTAACACTGGCGACAGTTTTTGCTGTGTTGACTAAGGGAGACGTGAGTCCTGGTAAA